AACACTGAAAATGTATTTCCAACAGATACTTACACCCATGTAATAGCTTTCCTGAATTTGTTCTGCCCTCTATATGCCCAATTTTTGCTTACCACTAGCCTCAAAGATCCCACCTAACAACAATGTTAACACAGGGTATAGCTGCATTGTAGCTTGGAAATGAGCATGCAACAACCCTCCAACAATAAGAGAGTGACAAACACTCCTAGTGCTGCTGACTCCCTCTATATTGTAAAGCACAATCATCACTCCACAATTAGGCCAAAAAAAAGACACTGGAAGTGGGGAGAAAAGGTAAGTATCTATCGGAAATACATTTTCACTTTTGGAAAATATTAACTTTCAATACAATACTTTATCTCTTCTCACATAATAGCTAGATTTCCACATAAAAATGGTGGAGAGACTGGCAAAAAGTAACTAGATGAGCATTCTTCGGAAGACATTCAAAGAGAACTCATGGTGTGTGTGATACCCTAATACACTTGTGGAAGACCATACCACATCTCTACCAGGGTATACTTTTTGCATGCTGTAAAGATTCGTATTGCTAATCCAGGGGAAAGGATGCAAGTCCAATCAGTAAATGGACATTCCAGATGGTGTAGAGTGGCTAGAGTGCGTCAGTGGGTCAACTCCAGTCCAAAACCAGGTGAGATTGGGTATGTGTCTTCCAGTACACTATAGGAGGAGGGTCCCAACTGTCTGCACCTCAAGACCAGGAAGCAGAAGAGAAAAGCAATTTCCATTCCAACAACTCGGGCATGGCACATGTGTGCAGACCCAGTACACAACCAACACCATCGACCACCCAGGAACCCAACATCCAGGGTACAGTAGGATGGGGGAATGCAAATGTGGTGGGTCAACTCTGGTCCAAAACCAGGCGGCATCAGGAATTTTTTTTACCATTTCACGGTAGGAGTAGGACCCCCTACCAACCACATGAGTGAGGATTTATGATGGCCGGTCCTACTCCAGTCAAACACCAAACCACTTGAGAACTGATCTTCAGGTGGTGGAAAAGCCAGCCAGAAGAGTGAACTGCATATGGTGGATTCTTCCAGTCCAAAACCAAGTGGCATCGGGTATTTGTCTTCTTGTTTGCAGTAGAAGGAGAGAACTCACCATCTACTCCAACAGAACACCACTGCCCTACTCTTGATTGAGTGGAAGTGGGCATGCTCAAGAAGATACCTCCATGGTCCACCATATGAGTGGCTAGGAACTGTTAAGTGGCAAGGACTCCCAAAGGGGGGGGGGGACAACAGCATGACCAGCAGGCCAGTATTGATTTATTCAACTAGGACCTGAGGGATGGGCAGCAATCCCAACACTGCTTTACTCATGACAGTTCATGAGTTGATGCAGTCTGAAACAACTTATGAAGCAATACACTGTGAGGAACCCTCTCATCAGTGAGCATTATAAACCCTTTTAAAGGTTGCATGGTGCAGATTAAAAGTTAAGTAAACCCACACAGGCACCACTTATCACTGAGCAGGATCCCAAGATGTAGAAATAGGCTAATGTATAGGTAAGATATATAAAAAGAGAACTTACCCATTCAGAGCTGGTAAGGAGGTATGTAGATTGACAACAGAAGGAAGTTGATATCCGGGAGAAGAGATGGCCAGAAGGTGAAGAAAATCTGCTATGAAAGTAAGTTGGGTAGTCCACACAAACTCCTATATAGATGATAGAAGTAAACAGCCAGAGAGAGAGTAAGGAGTCAGATTTGGTGAGAGGAAACTTGAAAAAGTCAATGTGAGTCTACATCCAATGAAGCAGAAGCTAAAGAGATTAGATGCCATAGCCATCCTGTGAGCATACCTAGGAGAAATATCTTGGGGAAATGAGGAATTCCACAGAATAAATAGATGGGAGAGTGAGCCATGAAAATAACAACAAACCATATGGATGGGACAGAGAAAAAAATTGGAACAGAAGGTGAATAATATTGAGAAATGGAAGGAAAAAATAAGGAAAGTAGCAATAGCATACACCTCATATCTAAGGCCACAGGCAAAAACCAAGAAGTAGAACCTAAGGAAAAGATGGTACAAGGAGTGAGAAACTAAAGGGTCAAAGAGAAGAAGGGTAAGGGTGTGGAGAACAGTATTCAAGTTCCAATCCAGAAGGACTGCAAGATGAGGAGGATGAATGTGGCAAAGAGAACAACAACAACAAAAAAAAAGCATAGAAAAGACAATAGAGGAGAATACATGACAATAATGAGGAAACCTGAAAGTATTAGGTAGAGCTGCCTGTTAACCAGCTGTGGAAGAAAGCAATAAGCCTCATTTGAACTGCCAATGTAAAAAATTTAGAGATGATGTATAGAAGGAAAGGAAAGGAAAAAAACATGATCCAGAGACCATTATGGAATGTGCACCCTTTTTATGGATGGACAAGAAGGGAAGAAGAATGAACTGAACGAGAACAAAGGAAGGCTACATATAAAGAGTCTGGAACATCTTGCAAGGGACTGGACAAAATCCACACATGAAGTTGGAGTTATAATACTGCTGAATAGGAGATGGAGCAGTGAGGTTCAAGGAGTAGAGAGAGTGACAGGGGAAGAAAGGACAGAAGACAGAAGGTGCAATAGAGTAAACCATGGCTGAGGCACGCAGTACAGAGTTGTCAGAAGGACCCAACATGCAGTGTCCAGAATGAAGGGAAACACGAGGGAGAAGAAGAGTTGGAGGGTTGGCACGGAGAAAAAAAGTTGGACTAGTCATGATAGAATGCATCTCCAGCTAAAGCAGAGAGAGTGAGATGAAGTGTTCCCCCGATGAGTGATAAAAGAGACAACTGCAGAGTTGACTGTATGTATCATTAGGAGACATGAATCACCCTATAAAAGAAAAAAGAAATCCAAAATTTGATGTACTGTTGAGACATGCCCCCAATCTAGTCAAGGAAGCATCTGGAAACAGGATACTAAGACAAGAGTTAGAGGAACACCTACTATGGAAATAGTTTTTATCAAGTCACCAGGTGAAGTCTTTGAGTAAGGAAGGTGGAATGAAAATGGTTGAGGAGAAGAGATCACAAGCAAGGATCTGGTGAATGTGCAGTCTATTACAGACATTGCAAGTTAGCATGACTAAAAGGGATACAGGATTTCATGGAAGTACATGTCCCCAAAGGAGAAAGAACCTCCTGCACAGTGAGGGAAGGAAAGATATGGCATAGGTAACTAATAACTCTATGTCCCTCAAAAGAAGAGTTGAAGGCTGGGCCCTGCAGACATACAAACAAAATAAATACAAAAAGAATGAGAAACAAAATGGGTGTGAGATGCAATTCCTCCAAGTTGAACCAACCAACCAAGACATGCTGCCTCCCAAAAAGAGGAAAAAAGTATAGCTGTAAGAGGCTTGTTGGACAGAGCCAAGCAAGAAAAGAAGCATCGTATCCCCAGACCTTGGGCAAAAGAACACTGAAGGGTGAGAAATTCCCCATGAGAAAGGTTTCCTAGGAACCACAAAAAGATGGGAATAAAAAACTGGAAAAGGATGAGAACTCCATCTTATAGTAATTGTAGCCATTATAGACCAACGTTGCCAAGAAACAAGATCCCTTAGAGGATATAAAACAATGGGATCAGAAGACAGTGAAGAAGGTGAGGAAAAAAACGAACTAAGGTTAAGGTTCTCTGAAAGAAATCCCAGTACTCAGCAATTGGCCACAAATAGAGGGCAAAGGTCAATAAACCAAACAAAACAGGCTCTACGGACCCTGAGCCTATAGGACATTAACTAACAATACTGAAAGCACTGAACTCTACAAGCAGAGGAAGGATGGACGGGAGGTGGTCAGAGAAGAGGAAGCAGGAGGATAGGGGCCAAAGAAGGAGAATGGGAGAGATGGTAAACTAGTGAGGATAAGGAATAGCATTAGCATGTTGCCCCTAAATATGACACCAGAGAAACAAGCATACCAGTAAAACTCCACAGGCAGATGAAAGGAGCCAGAGGAAGACATAAAAGATATAAGGGAGGCAAAAGCAGTGGAGTAAAAAGGGCATCAAATAAGAAGTGAAAATGCCAAGGGAGAAAAATATGTCACTGTCAAAAAGATAAGTGAATAAGCATCACTAAAACACTACAGGGGAATTAAATTACCATGGAAAGAAAATTAAAGAAGGAAAAATAATGGAAAACAGTAGTGTATGTAAAAAAGCCTATGAAAGACAAATAAAACACAGAGGATCTGACCCCCCAAGTCTGAAGAAAGACTCCAGAGTATAAGAGTCAAAGAAAAGCAACACAGCAAGAAGTCATGCTTAATCATATGAGGTAACAAAGGGAGGAGGACAAGGCATGTATGCCTCAAAGTAGCGGTAAATATAATTTAATATATAAAAACTATACTCAAGAAACCTAGTCATGAAATCATGAAAAAAAGCTGAGGCAAAGTTAGGCTGGGAAAAAACTGGCAAAAGTAATTTCATTATGAGCAAGAAACATAGGTGGAGGTATACCAGTGACAAAAGAAGGCTCAGGCTGCATGAAAGACTCCATCACTCAATGCACAAAAGCCATTACCTCTTCCAACAGACAAAGAAAAACCTAATGCCAATGTAGTTGATAGGCAGATACTTCCACTGAAAAATACCTATATCTGAAAAGATTCACGAGGAAAAAAAAAAGACATGTCATTATACACAAGTGTCAAATTGAGAAGTGTCGCACTCCTATTGCTGGAAGGTTGTCGGATGCTCATTTGCATGCTAAAATACAGCTATACCATATGTAAACATATGATGTTAAGTGGGATTCTCAAGACTAGTGATGAGCAAAAATTGCCCATATAGAGGGCAGCATAAATTGAAGCTATTATGTGAGTAGAGGTACGGTATCATATCAGAAAAGTGAGATTCCTAAAGAAACAACGCAAGTTTTGCAACTTCTGGAAAATGTCAGATGAATTGAGCTGCAAAGAATAAAAATAAATTGTTAAATAATTTATTTTAATTTAAAGAAATTTACCTTAGTGGTGTAACATTCCCATCCATGCTAAAAACCCCATCTGTAGCAATCAGTCTCAAACGAGCTCCCTGACTTTCCTCGAGTTTTTCTTCTAATTCTATCGATTTAATATAAATAGTAACATGTTTATGAATTCTAAAAATCCAACATTTTTAAGCAAAATACATAAAACTTGAAAAAAACTTTGGTTGTTGAAAAAAAAAAAAGCCACGAAAAACAACAACAAATAATTGTTTCCATATATGCATTATCATTAAATGATATGATTTTGACACTGATATATAGAAACATCATTATTAAAAAATCCTAAGAAAATAACATGACACAAGTTAGAAAACTTAAAACATTACTGCAGAACTTCAGTGACAGTGTTTTAATCTGTTATTTTTCCATCAATTACCTAATATTGGTTTCATTTGTTAGGTATTAATTAATGATATTGGTATTTCTACCGAGATCTTAATTTTGAAAATAATCTTAAGCAATTCTTCTATTAACACACAAAGGTACTTATAGAGACCCCATCATGCCTATGTAACCTTCCAGGGGCTAGATCATATCGATAAGGATAGTGATAGTCAATGAAATTTTCATCAATCACTCAAGTTTGTCAACCAGATACATTGACATTTTGCTTTTACAACAAATTATCTAGCCTCAAAGACATTTCTTTTACCTACATTTTTGTTTTATTCTTTGCCATAAAGTTGAGCATAGAAATCTTCTGCTGCATGCCTCTAGCTCAGCAGCCTGTGCCAACAAACTAGGTGTTAACATAACAGAGTTGACTAATTTTTGACAAAGAATGATATATGAACTAATTAAATCTTGATGAAACTTTGTTGAATGGATAGCAACTGCCTATTGTAGAAACACAAGATTAGAGGATGACGTTTCAAAAGTCTTCCACCTTTCGTCTTCAGGATCTGAAGATGAAACACTCAAAATGTTGTCCTCTATTCTTGTGTTTCTACAATAGGCAGTTGCCATACATTCAACAAAGTTTCATCATGAATACTCTGCCTAAACAATCTATCAAAAAATAATCAAATCTTATGTCAAATATTGAGCATGCAATCTTTATCCCAGAGTTCATAGCACAAAGCTTGAAAGTATGATTTGTAATTGATTCTGCATGGAGCATGACTGGGCATGGTTACTTTAGCCAAACCAAAACTTCCTTTTCTCATTTGCTGATATGACACAAATACCCCACGATTAAAAAATTATATCACTATCCTAATTTCTTTTCAGGCACATCGTGCTACTATATTAAGAGTAAAAAACACAAAAACACACATTTTTTGGCACAATGAAAGGTAAAATATTCATTATTACTTACAGTCGACTAGATTTGGTAACACAGTTACCATCATCAGGACTAATATTTATGGTGTTAGCTTAGAATATATTCAGCTACAAACTGTTAATGGGCGAGTTCATTTTGAAAAAAAAAAAAATGTCAGAAAATAATGGTGGAAAGTGAATCATAAATGAGGGAATACTTAAGTTAAATAAATATTCCAATGGGACATGTTGATTGGTCCGTTGTCTCTACTTATACACACACATTTATTTTTAATTATACAAATACTCTCTTTTAAGTTCCATTCTATGTTTATTGGTGCATTTCTTAAGATATTTACATTTTTCAAGTCAAAATTACCATCACAGTTCCAGAAATGTTCAGCTACAGTAGAGGACATAGTGTTACCACTATTTATTACTTCACTTATAGTCAATAAACTTTACTATAATATAAATAAATGTTTGCAAGTTTTATTGTAAGAAGCAGCCTTAAAAACTTCATACCTAGCCTTGATCTAGTCCTTAGGCTGATGACAATTAACTCTTTAAGTTGTAAAATTAACAAAACTTATGTAAAGCACAATTATTGAAATTATCTACAATTACTGAAGATCTCTACTATATATTCTGCATTTCTAAGTTAACTGTATACTTAACAAAACTTGAAGTATGAAATCTACCTTTCATATTTCGGTGTTGATAACGTATTTTTTGGGCTTTACACAAACGAATTCCATCTATAATAGAAGCATGATTCAACTCATCAGATATGACTGCATCCTCAGGTGTCAGAAGAACTTCAAATAAACCAGCATTGGCATCAAAGCAACTAGCATACAATATTGCCTCTTCTCGACCATGGAACTTAGCTACTTTTCTTTCCAATTCCTTATGAAGGTCCTGATATCAAATTTTTCAAATAACTAATTAAAATATTATAATGCAAATTTACTA